GACAAATATGGCCGGCACTTGCCCTTAATGCCTTTCACCGTTGAAGTCCCCTTTATTCCGCCATTCATCGCTGCAGCCGGGCAAGTGCCTTGCAAAAGGTTAATTTACTTGGAAATTCCAGAATACTTATTCTTAACAAATATGCGAGCAATTGCTTAGCTTACTTTTCACGGGGATTGAATTGGTTTCGGGTACAATAGGAGCAGCAGCGGGGGACAGATGGGAAAATGGCAACGGAGCACTAACAACTGCACTGATTTATCTGCACAAATTGCCAACTGAAATTAATAAGGGAAATCAGTTTACCATTTCCTGTCTACGACGACAACGAGGACGACAAAAATTCTAGAAAAATTCCGTTGTCGATGTCGTTGGATGGTTGGGTTGGGGGATGGCTATATGTATATACATAGTTCGTCGGGATGGGTTGTGGAAATGAAGAGACATTCCAATAACTGTACAACATCCGGTTGCATATACATACACAGGCGGACACAATAGCAAAAACGTTTCCATTTTCAATGGAAAAATATTTCTATTTCAACATGAAAATATTGTTAGCAGCCTTTTGTGTCGGTTATCTAAACGACTCTTCACCTGACGAAGACCAGATAAAAATTTCAGCCACAGAAAAAGGATCAGATAAATGGAACGAAATCAGGAAAAATTCAATCCTAATTCAGCCGCCCGGCTAGGAAATTTTTATAGACAGTAACTAAAAAGACTGGTGCAGAAAAAAAACGAGACCAAAATGGATGCCATGCATCCTGCCGCAGGTCCTATGGCCTCTCTGAATGGAACCAGTGACGTATGTACTTGACTTGACTTGCACATTGGCGGTGGCAGAAAGCCTCGGCAACTCAATTCGAGCCAAATCCAAAGAAAAATAGTTATTGTTAGAGCAACGAGGACAGCGCCAGCGACGAAGGCAGTAAGTAGCTTTATTATGGGATTTTAAGTTATTACACCGGTCGGTCGTCGAGAGGGGAAAGGGGGCCGGCAGGATCAGGCAGAAGGATATGATGATGGTCGGGGTGCCACTGCAGCCACTCACATATGCGGCTCCTTGAATGCTGGGCTTATCCAATGTGATGACGGGATGCCTTTTGGCCTACAGCCGAATTTGTCAACATGATTTGTGGAAGTTCAATCCCATTTCATTCTTCCACTCTTTGCTTCCATTTTTTATTCAGTTGGGAAGATTTGCCATGCTGCATTCTGGGGAACTGGCAAGCTCCCAAAGGTGACTTTATAGAAATTTTAAAACCATGTGGTTCTTAGATTATCTTTGTACTTTTCATATGGGTATATAAAAACCATGTAACTACACATAAAATATTTCATTATTCATCTCCAAATGTAAATTGTTACTAATGGCCACATGTCGGCTACGTAATATTCCACATACATAGATACATTTCCGCTTTGACCCAGTTAATAATTCAGAGCGATACATTAGGCGACAACGAGGACCTTTTCGGCCATCAGGTAGGGTGTCAGCATTTGACACTAAGGCTAATTTAATGGAAAATGTCCGAGGGAGAACTTGAAATTCGAGTTTATCGTGACACGCAACGCCGCGAGCTGACAACAACAAAGTAGACGCCGTGGAGCACCCAACTCATGTGGTTCATATTTTGGCTGACATATCTATTTATATGCAAATGCCACACCTCCCGGAATGTCGCCTGGACATCCTGGCCCCATCCTGCGTGCGTGCCAAAGTCAAAGTCAAGGAATTCTCCTTTGTTGTTCGCAAGCCTGCAACAATAAATCACGGCACCTATGCTGCCGGCGTGTGGGGCGAGGGGCTAGAGCCACCGGCGGGGAAAAACTAATAAATCTAAGGCCAATTAATTGACTTAGCTGCTGCTGGCAAAGGATGGCGCGGAGGCCAGAGATGAGGCAAAGGCAAAGGCACAGGCAGCGCAAAAGCCAAAGCCAAAGGCAACGACTCCAAAGGGTCGCAATTTATGGCCGCACCATCAACTCGAGCCCGCACATAATAAATCATAACATTTTACAGATAATAGAAAACCTCACACATGTCCAAACAATCGGCTCCGGCAGTCGTTCGTCCCAAAAGTGTATCCAAAACTGGGAGCTTGTTAGCCCGGCGGCTAGAAATTTTAATAAGCCGCAAAAGAGTATGGCTTGGGAGCAGTAGTAGTGGGAATATAAAATGTTTCACATAATTTATGCAGCCGAAGGGGCAGACTTAGACCCGAGGGCGGATTGGCGGAGCGTAAGGATGTGTTCCAGGATGCGTATCCGCCGATCAAATCTAACATTATGGTTCCCATCGCAGTGGGAATAAGCGTCTTAGCCTTTACCTTTTGGTTAGTGTATGTAAAAGCGTTAGATTGGAATAATGTATGGAATAGTTATCAAGAACCTTGACCTTTCATTGTAAACTTACTAAATGTTATATCCTTTTGTGACAGTGTTCTGATTTCAGTCTTCTTCCCAGGCTTTTAGCCAGTCTATGCCGATTAAAAAACGCATGTTTTTAAAATGATTTTGGTTTAATTTTCAAGCTTTTCCTCTTCAATTGGCTTTAGAATACTTCTCCCCATTTCATTGTCTTTTGTTATTTTGTTTGTGTCTGAAATCGCGTGAATTTAAATTCCCTTTTTAGCAAGTGGTACCGAGGAGAGGCACTAAGTCAAAGTCAAGCGGAAGGTTGTGGCGTGGGCGTGTTGCGCAAAAGTGTTGCAAGTCGGAGCGGAAACTCGCCGGCAACGCCTTTGAGTCGGCCCGCAAGTTTGTCTAGATGTCGGATGGATATGCCCTCCAATCTGGCGCTAAACTAATGCTGGGGGCAGCCTGTCGACAGGCGACCACCTTGCCACGCCCCCGGCCTTGTAATGACGTCATTTACATGCTGCAACACTTGCTAGTAGCGAGGGCAATTACATAAATCATTGCGACTCGTCTGGCTGGAAGATCGGGCTTGCACTCGAAAAAAAGCAGCATTTTGCCAGTGGCAACATCGATATATAATCAGTTTTGCAATTAAAAAAATTCAGTTATGGAAAGTTTATTATAATTCTGACAATTTTTATAATATTTTCGGGGTGTTAAAGGTTTCCTTTTGATAGATTCTTTTCAGCTTTTCCTGCTATGAAGCGTTTTAATTGCCAGTTCGGTCTGCTACAAATCTGAGTCACCAATTGACTTTCTGTTCTTTTTCGCTGGACGAATCGTAAATAAATTACACGGCTTGATTGATCAACTTTCCCTCCGATGACAGGCACAAGGGGGTAGGTAGGGACAGGGGCAAGGGTAGGGCCGCTGTTGTCCGTGGGACGGCACTGTCATTGCGGCCGAAAATGTCGAGGCAGCCGCTCGTGAACATAAATCCAAGTGACGCTAATTGTTTGTTGCAATTACTGCTGCAGTTGTTGCCACCGTTCAGTTACGTGTGCGGCAGGCAGCCAGCAGCCGGCAGCCCAGTGGGCCATGGAGGGTTAAGGAGGGCTGTGTTTGTATGCAAATTTTGTTGTATCTGCCATCTCTGCTGCTGTTGATGCTGCAGCAACGGCAAACAATTACTCAAACATTGTTGCAACTGCTGCTGCTGTTGCTGCTGCTGCTGGTGGTAATGTTGCTGCTGCTGCTGCTGATGTTGCTGGCGTGCATCTCGTTGTGCGTGCTAAATGGCAACTACTCTGGCGGCTAATGATAATCACTCGACGCCCTCTGCTCCTGTCGATCCAGGGTCTAACCTGCTCCATGTTGGCTTTCCTCTGCACTTTGCCCGTTTTCGAATGCTTAATCAAAACGCTTTTTGCTGCTGTAGCTGCTGCAGTGATTCAATGTAGCCCTGCAAGTAACTCTCACAATAGATAGTGACTGGAGGAAATAATTACCAACTTAAAGCTAACTGGCTGCCTTAAAGGAGCAGCTATCTTTGGGAGATTCTCCTGGAGTTGTCATCTCTCAGCAGGGCTATCAAATAGCTCAACAAATCTCCTGCCAGCCCGAGCGTAATGCTATTTATATGCCATATAATTGGCACTCAGGCCCACACCTCCGCCTCCTGCAAATAATCCACAAGATGGATTCGAAGTCTGCATGCAACGGCAACGGCAGCCACAAATGGGGCACATAAAAGGATCCAGCTAGGAGGGGAGGGAACGAAAGGCAGAGGAAAGGACGTAGGAAGTGCGGTTTGGCAGCACACAGCTGGATATAAATCAGAATTAATTCATAGACTAAACAATGCGAAATTAATATTTTTGGAACTGGAAACGATTTAGATTTTCGACAATAAATCGGCTAAAGAGGGCGCCGTTATCTTGGTTATTTTGCTTTAAAAATAATTAAGATTACGACTCCCACAATTCGCAAAGCCCCTCTGAACTAATTTGTTCCTTCACAATTACATAGTTCGTAATACCCCTTGGTCTCGGCGAAGCACCGCACACATGGTGACTAAACTGTCGGTTGTTGTGTGGCAGTTTGCAACTGTAAAGTGATATTAATTATGGGCTTTGTTGCAGCTCTAGGCCCTGACCCCTTGCCCCGTACATGTGGATATGGAGAGAGTTCTGGTTCTAGTTCTGGTCCCGGCCGCAGTCTTCGGGCTCCTCACTGATTAAGTAACTTTCGGACATGACACAGTACTGCGGCTTCTCTGGCAGGTAGTTACCGCCTCACCTTGTTTACCTTCAGGACGATCTTAATGGATTGTAGCTAATGACGGTCATCTTGCATACAAATGCCACAGAAACTGAAAGGAAGCTCAAAGGTGATAATGCCAAAACTATATTTGTATTTTCTTTATTATATATATGATTCTTTTTTATTTAATCTGTCAACGAAATATTTTTCAGTTAACATGTGACGCTCCATGTTAGCTATGTATATTTTCTAGGTATTTTATATCCCAAGGAATTCCTGAAAATTATTTACGCCTACCTGTCTTTCATATTCAAATCTTGGTTTATGCTTGAAAATATAATTTCCCAGAAACTCTGCTTTTAGGTAGAAAACCTTCTGCCCAAATATGGGCAGATAGTCGATTCCAAACTATAAGAGGAAAGTCGCCCTGAAAAGGAGCTCAGTCTCTCAAGTGCATTCGAAGAAACATCTTTAACAAATATTTAAAATGAAAATTTCCGTAAGATTTAATTCCCTAAAAGCATAAACATAATTTTTAAATAATTTCCATACCATTTTCAGATTTTCTGTTTGGTTCTTATTTTGGGCATTGTCTCGGCTCGTCCCCAGTTTGGATTTGGAGGATTTGAGCAGCAGCAACAGCAGCAGGCATCCTATGGGTTTGGAGGTGGCTTTGGTCAGCAGCAGCAGGAAGCGTTTGCAGGCTTTCCAGGAGGCCTTCCAGGAGGATACGAGGATATGCTACAGCAGCAGCAACAGCAATCCTTTGGAGGGGGAAATTTTGGGGGCTACTTTGGTTAATCACTAAAATAAAACAAAGATGGCCTTATAAAATTTTGTAAAATTCTTTAATGGGTGCCAAGAACAATAAATCATAAAGATAAAGCAAAAATTATGAAGTATTTGTATGACAAATTATTTTAATGGGAAAACTATCTATCTCTTTTGAATTCAATCCCAAAAAGAATCGAACAGAGTTCAGAAAACTCCAAACTGGGCCAAAACCTTTCTGCTATCGCGTGAGCACAGCTCGAGGGACACTCAGTACTATTTCGATGTGTAGATACATTTGTATCTTTTGCCGAGCACGTGTAGCTGTTTATGCAGTTGTACAAGCTCGTGGGCGAAATTCAATTTATTATTCCACTATATGAGCTTTCGCACTTAACTTGCATGAATATATAATGAGCTCTCCGCCATGGAAATGGGACGGGTAGCCGGTAAATGGGAAATGGGAATGGTAATGGGGGGACTTCGAAAGGTAACGGCGCGCCGTTGCGTGCTCGATGCCTTGCCGGGTTCCATGACCCGGCGCCAGTTGTGAGACGGCTAAATTGAATTATTAATAACACGCAGTGCCCGCAGCGAAACGAATGCCGTATCTGTAAATGCGTATAATGCATTTTGTGGTTCTGAGGAGACAGCTCCCAAAAAAATATAAAGAAAGGGACAAAAAATGGACTAATCGTAGCACTTATGACCATAATTTGTCAATTTTCGAAACAATTCCCAAAGCCCTCATAAATTGTCTGGTGGTATGGTGTCCTGGTGTCCTGGCCTCCAGTCTCCGGCTCCCTCAGTCCTTGACTTTTGGCACCCATTACACCTCATTTCTCTTACTCAGAGGGACACGGCCGCGCCGAAAAACGAAAGTTAGCCCAGACACTGGGACGAGCCGAAGCGGTTTGCTTAAAAAAACCGAAAGAAAACGCATTTAAATGCCTTTGTGTGCATAAATTACTCAGAGAGTTGACGTTTTCCCACATAAATGTGTAAATGAGTCTCAGTTTTCGCTGGGTTTTATTTTTTTGTGTGATGGGTTTGGTTGCCTTTCCGTTGAAATTGAAATGAATGCGAACTGAAATGGGATCCTTGGTTATTTCCGTTGGAACTTGTTGCTTTCGGTGATGGACGATGAGGCCAATGGAAACATACTGCACTGTGGACCCAGGATATCATACATTTCTGAAGATTATTCGGAGAGAAGCATAAAAACCTTTGATACTTTTGAAGCAATCAGTTAGCTCTGTAACTCAAGCTAAGGAACTCGTTCTGCAAAATTACAGTTGACCTCGAAATTTTTTGGAATAGAAGAACTTTATACTTGTGAAGGATTCGAATCCTCGATACTCTCAGTTGCGGTTGACTAACTAACTAAAAGAAAAATCAAATAAAACGGAATATGTGCCACCAAATGGAGTCCCCAATCGAATAAATTTAATCGACATTGTCTAAATGCAATGGCAAATACAAATTCACTTAGCTAACAAGAAAGGAAAATCAAAAAGAAATCACCTCCCTTGAGTTCTCGGGTCTCCTTGAATTTTTTTCTTTGCCCAAAAAAATGGGAATGGAAGGAAAATTATCGCCCTTTGTGCATTTGGCCTGAAGATAACTGCCGGCCAAATGACACACATTAGGACCAAGGTATATTTCCAAGGAGCCTGGGAGGACGGCTTATGTGTGCAAAATCAATTCAAGCTCGATTTCCTTTGATGAAATGGTAAGTGTGCGCGTGTGTTTGGGGGTTTGGGGCCACCCCGACGTACGTGACAGTTGTTCTTAAATGGCCCGAAGGAGCAAATTACTAAAAATAAAAAGGTACACTGCATGAGATATGTTATGAGTGCGCAGCCCGGGAATATTGATCCGAAAATCGTTCGATTAATAGCCCAAATCCTTTATGATCAGTTACCAGGGACAACTGGCCGTTAATTAATGCACTTGTCTGTGCCACACTCGAGTCAACTTATCGAACGATGGCGTCCTGCGCCGCCACCACCCACCACTTGCTCCTATGATTAATGTTTAATTAAGTTTGCAGCATTTTAAAAATGGCCCAACCGGCAGCCATTTCAAGGGATTACATCATATTTAATCAGAGTCATTATTTATAATGATACGGCCGGCATGAGGCATTATAGTCGCTGCTGTTGCTGCTGCTGCTGAAATATGCCACAAGTTATCAAAAGCCCGAAGTAAGCGCAGTATCATGTAAGCGTTAATAAGTGATTTCCATGGAAGCGCAGAATGCGTTCCGCAAAACAATTTCAACTCGATTTCGATGATGATGATGTGGTTTACTTCTCACAGAACTGGGAATCGTTTGTGGAAAGTAGGAACACATTTGCATTTTAATATGAAACAAAAACATAGTTTGAATCGTTCCATATTCCTAGAATTATTTTGCTTAAATATTCACAAGTTTTAATGAATAGGAATCACTCGGAAGCCCTTGTGCAACCCGAGTGTGTGTGTATACAGGCCGCTGATTATGTGCAGAGAGGCTTAAAGTGAGTCTTATCAGTGGACTGAGCGGGAGTGCAGAAGCCGCTCGAGTTGAAGTAAATTAATTAACAATGTTTATTGTTTGCACAATATGTGAAAATGCAATTGCAGTCGCCTGAGGATGTCCTTGTTTTCGCAACTCTTATTGCCGCTGCCGTAGATGATGCTTGTGGCCGCTTTGCCTGACGGACAGTCACTTAAAATGCGGAGAAATGCTTTACGTTATTTGGACAGGCTGGAAATTTAAATTCAATTATATTGTTTTGGACTTTACTCTGACGTCTCCATTCGAGTCAAGTGCACTGGTCAACGGAATAATCTGTTAATTGGTAATTGTAAGCCATTAGCCGGCGAGCTTGTCAGAGAAAACCTGCGGCCAGACTCTCTTAATTATAATTGGGGCAGCTCGGCTCGTATGAAAGGTTATTGTTAGTTCTTAATGAATGGAAATGCCAAGGATACGGTAAATAAGGATATGTATTGGGGTCAAACAAGCCACAGAGAGTGCATGTAGCACAAAGATAGCTTAAGCATAATGTTAAGCAAATGTATTAAATGGAGCTGCGGGAATTAATTAAGGTTCATGGCTTAAGTTAGTATGAATTTCGGTAAATATATTGTATTCTCTGCAATCATTTTAGTGTCAAGGCCTTTTTAGTTTCGGAAATCGTGCTCGAAATTCTAGAAATTTTTTGCCTGGAACCGATGGCTGATGTACACCAGCTAATTGTCACTTGCATTATTTACCTTTACCAGATTTACCTGCTTTGTGTAAGACGCATTTTAATCATTCCCTCCAGTGTTTAATGCTTCGATCTTCCCTTGAATAGAGATCTATTCCGCCCCTCAAGAAGGATGCCTTGCTGCTCGTCCTGCACAACTTCCTGCTCTACTATGTGATCAATATGTTCAAGCACCTGGCCCAACGTAAATTCTGTTCCACAGATATTTTCCTTTACTAACTTTTAATCTGCAGTTTCGATGGGCTCTTCGGGGCCGGTGAACACCTTCTATTACGTGCCTTTGGTATTCGAGGAACCTGTGCAGTCGGAGGCCAATCCGGATAACTGGCACCAGGTGCTGCGGTCCTCCACCTGGCAGTTCTTTGAGACTCTCTTCAGACACCATTTGGCCCTGCTGTTGTCATTTAATATGGCCCTCATTGTGCCCGTAAGCAGGCCGCAGTGTCCTTTTTATCGCCCAGAGTCCTCTTTCGATTCCATTGCAGCGCTGCAAGCTGGGCTTCATTAGCACTCTCGTGCTGGTCTCCAACTTTGTGATGTTCGTCTGCTTCACCTCGGCCATTTGCCAGTTCCTGATGGTCAGCGGCCAGGCCAATGTCAATGCTTTGCGCCTCCTCACGATCCTGGGCCTGGGTCCCGTGTGCCAGATGCTCCTGGGGTGTCGCCTCTTGTCGCGTATGTGGGTGAGTCCGTAGCAGTAGCAACCCTCGCCTCTAATTCGTCAATGTTCCCCCCAGGTTGGCCTGTGGATCGTTGTTTGATCAAGGGAATTCGATTTGCCAGGATATAGCTGGGGCTCAGGCAAGCAGCAGCAGCAGCAAATCAAAGCAATAAACCATCTGAACTGGGCTCTAACCGAAAATCACTTTCACTGCACAAAACTGCCAAACTGCAGGCATTTATGACGGCACAGGGCACGGGGTAGAGGGCGAAAATCGCATAACAAAATTGCTGCTGAAAAGTTGAACAAATATTGAGGTCAGCAGAATGTCGAGTCTCGAGTTGCGAGTTGCAAGTTGCGAGTCTACTCGGCATTGTTGTTGGCGCAAACTGTTTGCTGGCCTCTGGCACAAACTCCGGACACGCTCCGTCCCAGTCTGGATGCCATGACTCCGGCTCTGAGGCCTCTCCAGACCCTCGTCCTGGGCCAAAAATATTCAATGAAAAGCGGCAGTCGGCAGTCCTCTCTTTGTCAATAATACAAAATGGAAAAAATGAGATGTGGCTGCCGCAGCTCGAGTTTGCATGGCGCAATGCAGACGTCGACGTAGCCCGGGGGGCTCCGGCTCCGGCACCGGCACCGGCTCCGTTTCCGATGTCCTGTCCCCAGCCTACCCCCTTCATTGCCCCTGGCCCTGGCTACCTCATGCCAGCTGCCTTCGGTTTCGCCTCGAATTGAGAAATTGCCGCAAATGCTTTTCGATTTTTCGTTATGGCTCGGACAAGCCTTGGCTTTTCATATTGCATAATTGATTGTGGGCGGGCATGGGTGTGGGGATTGCGTAAATACCCAGCAGACGGCATTGTCACCACCCTGCTTCCCTTGCAACGGCAGCGCTTATGCACATTTTCAATATGCATTCCCAGCCAGATGCATTCTCGATGCGTAGAACCGGAAAAGAGCATTGCCAAAAGAGCGTGGCTGCTATGTTTACGCCTTCTTTGGTTATAATTAAATTGTGCAAATTTCAAAAGCGAAATTCTGTGAAAATCAACAAGTACAGTTGTGGGGGAATATAGTGAACAGATGGGCTTTCTTTGAATGTTTCGTGTCTCAATCAAAAAACATTAGTTCAAGTGGTAAACTGGCATATATGGAGTAATTTTCGATTTAAAATTGAAATATGAATAATTTATACTTATTTACGATGACAGAAGCTTAAATAAACTTTAAAAATTAGAAAACAATTAAGTAAAGGCGTAACCATTCTATATACTAGCGATGAAACAATGTTCCATGTTTAAATTGCATTAAAATCTTCAACATTTTATATGCAAATGCAAAACCACTTCGATGTCTATTTATAAAGCAACAACCCCTGCACTCATTATGCCACCTTCACTGTATCTGGTACACACTCGGCCACCCATTTAGAGCTCCTTTTATGCGCCAACTCTATGTGAAGTGCACACTAAATATATAAAATATATACAAGCTGCGGTGCCAAGAAGGAGAGATCGCAAATTGCAGGTGAAGTTCCCATGAGTCTAATAACATCAAAACAAAGCAAAAAGTTAGTATAGACCTACGGGGCATAGGAAAGCGGTGATTCCCCTTTTGAAACGGAAATAGTATTTATGCTCTTTGCAGATATATAGATTCCATTATCTTTTTTCAGTCAAATACAAGTTTGATAAAGTCGGATTTAATTGAAACATGGAAAACTATCTTAATTGGGAATCTCCATATGCAGATACCAACATGATTTGACCCCTCATATAAGTTTCTCTCCTTATATTATGCAGTTTTCCAACCCACTGCACTTTGGTGCACTTTATCACAAAGTTAGTTTACCCCGCTTGAGTGATGTACTAGAACTGGAGAGCCCTCTTCGAATCTCAAGTCGCAACGTAGCCGCACAGTAACGAGCCCTCCTCCCCCTTCCACGTGTCTATATAATAATGAGCAACGATACAGTTCCCAGGAACTCTAAGCATGAGAAATTTAATTTTAAGCCACCCCGCATGCACACCCATCCCATCCGTGCCACACACACATAATTGTGTATTCAAGTAAGAGATATGGGAACTGAAAGAAGCTCCATCAACGGGTGGAGCGGGAGGTGGCGGGTGGAGCAGGGGCTGCCTTAAATTAAGATAATGACACGTGGGGTATCGCCGCCCCGGGCGTCAGCAGTGGTTGGTAAATTGCGATAACATAGAAATGGCCTGAATAGCGGCTCACTTTAAAACACTTAACCCTTGACACACACAAGCGCCGTGTCCCGCCTAGCCGTGTTCGGGGTGGCTCGACGGCACGCACTTTTAAAGCGCACCTTGATGGCAAGCTGCCAAAGAGTTTGACTCCATTGACGGGGGGATTGGGCGGAGAAAGTAGGGCATGCCAATGTGCCGGAGTTTGGAAAATTCATTTTCCAAGTAGAGCGGTGTGTGTATATCGAAAGGAACAGTTTGATGTGATATATACACAAAAAGAGCTTAAATTCTGTATAGTTTTATATATAGCGAAATGTTATATATTTAAATATAATGCTTGAATCGTTAATATATCGGTATACAGATCCAGATCTACATGGGTTGCTTTACAATATTAATTATAATGATTTTTCTTGTGAAGTTCGAATATCATCTCACATTTTTCCCCACACAACTTTGATTGACGCTCAAATCAACTAATCAATTGGATGTACATATGTACCAAAACTAGGAATAAGAAAAACCAACCAAAAATGCAACACTTGGGAGTGTAAAGGAAAATTCGAAGGATTTGATGTAGCAAAGAAAATTTGCATTTCAAATGGCCGCAAGGTGAGTATGGGCGTTAGCTCTTTTTGTAAGTAGATATTTTTCTCGACGTGATTTTTGCAGACTGTGGCCAGTGGGGAAAAGATGCCAGACGAGCTGAAAAAAATAGAGTCTGGGCCAGAAAGAAAAAGATTTTCCCCAAAGGCGGCCTCAGGGGTGCCAAATACTTAGCCACACAGACATACACAAGTCTTACCACACAAACAACAAACACGCACTTCTAAGAAAAAACTCACAAGAAAGTCAAAGTCACTTCGTTGAAATTGGAATAGTAAGTCTGCACTGTGGTCTATGACCTACAAATTTGGGTTAAAATTAAAATAGTGCTTTCTATCGGTTTAGTTAATATAGATTATTAAGAATAAGACGGGGTAACGACATAAGTCCGCCGCCATAAGTTCGCCGTTTTAAAACGACATAATTTCGCGCGATCTTATGACGCTTGAAAGCGCCATAAGTTCGCCACAGAAAAAACGACATAATTTCGCCAGCCGCGATCTTATGTCGCCGAAAAGCGTCATAAGTTCGCGCGAAATTATGGGGTAACGACATAAGTCCGCCGCCATAAGTTCGCCGTTTTAAAACGACATAATTTCGCGCGATCTTATGACGCTTGAAAGCGCCATAAGTTCGCCACAGAAAAAACGACATAATTTCGCCAGCCGCGATCTTATGTCGCCGAAAAGCGTCATAAGTTCGCGCGAAATTATGGCGTTCAAAAATTACTTGCGGCGGACTTATGACGCTTCAAAGCGCCATAAGTTCGCCACAGAAAAAACGACATAATTTCGCCAGCCGCGATCTTATGTCGCCGAAAAGCGTCATAAGTTCGCGCGAAATTATGGCGTTTAAAAATTACTTGCGGCGGACTTATGACGCTTCAAAGCGCCATAAGTTCGCCATAGGAAAAAATACATCATTTCGCAATTTGGATGTACGTATGTATGTATGAACATGTATGTACATACATCAATAACCATTATATCGGCCAGAAAACGAAAATTTTGGTATTTTATGGTATTTTTAAGTGATTTTTATATTTCAGTTTTTGCATGTAAAACAAACAAAATGTTTTCTACAACAATTTCTCTTTGATATCTATTAAGTACACAATAAGTTGCTTTTCAAAAAAATATGAAGTTATTCATACAAAAACGTGAGGTAAAAACATATAAAAATCTTGTACCGTTCGCGATGTAACGTTACAAATCTGAAATTAGCTTCTAATACTGTCTTCCCACACAGCACATTTGTGAGGAACGTTTGGGATTTTTCACAAATGTGAAACTCGTGTTCCCACACACCGTCAAAGCACATTCACCATCCGAACAGCTGATCGATCAGCTACGGCTCATGAAAACGTAAACAAAGACTGTCGAATTGGCAGTTGCAAATTTGAAATAGAGCATTTACCAACTATTTTGGCTGTTGTACATCAGCAAAAGGCACAGATTGCGTCAGAATTTATCTGCACTAAATTTAAATGAATTAAATGACAAGGAATTTTAGTTTTTCTAATGATTTTTCTTTAATAAACAGCAAATTCCCCGAAGAGTGTCTATAGGTGGTATAGGCATCCAAAATCTTTAAAATAAGATAGAGGCCGGCGGTTTATATTAAATAGTAACAATTGGGGACATATTGGGGCAAGAATATACAGAAAAAACGCTAACAACTATTTTGGGCATGCTTGTAGCTTTGGCGCCACATTTTAAATTCCATATTTCATTTGTTCCTCGCCAAGTGTGTATACACTTTCGTAGTGATGGTCAAATTTTCAGAGTTGCACCGAAAAACTATCGCCTAACTATCGCCAAACAAACCGTGGTTAGATTTTAATGTGTTCTAACGGCGGTCCATTTGGGTAAATTCGGCACTGCTAAACCTTTGCTTTGACGATGTGTGGGAAGACCCTATAAAATAAAAATAACTTTCATGAATGGAAAGCAACAGTATTTTATTGTGATTTTAGTTTTTCAGGCTGAAGTCAAACAAGACTTATGTTTTCTGTACCGTTTGCGATGCATTGTTTTCTGCAAATAATTTAAATGTGACAATTCCCTAAAGCTTGCCTTTTATAATACAATTAGTACTGGTCAAATGCATCGATCGTGCAAAAAAACATTTAAGAAAATGGTCATATTTTTTCCCATTATTTCATTATAATACAAATTCAGTACACTTCAATTCAAAATATTACATATTATGATATATATTATATTATAAACCGATTTGTAACGTTACATCGCGAACGGTACAAGATTTTCTATGTTTTTACCTTACGTTTTCGTATAAATAACTTTATATTTTCTTGAAAAGCAACTTATTAGAGAAGATTTTTTAGAAAGAGGGAAATCATTTCGTTTGTTTTTCATTCGAAAAATTAAATATAAAAATGCTCTTAAAAATATAAAAAAATACCAAAATTTTAGTTTTCTGGCCGATTTTTATATTAAAATACTGCTATGTAAACATTGTATTATGAAAATTTATATTTAGGTTTTTTTTTGGATTTAAAGTTTTATATATATGTACATATATGTACACAAAAAAAACTTTAAGTCCAAAACAAATTTTTCATAATACAATGTTTACATAGCAGTGTTTTCATATAAAAATCGGCCAGAAAACTAAAATTTTGGTATTTTTTGTATTTTTACAGGTTGTACATATTTACAATGTACAAACAAATGAAATAAATGTATGAACATATGTATGTATACATACATAAATTCGCGCGATCTTATGACGCTTTTCGGCGACATAAGATCGCGGCTGGCGAAATTATGTCGTTTTTCTGTGGCGAACTTATGGCGCTTTGAAGCGTCATAAGTCCGCCGCAAATTTTGAACGCCATAATTTCGCGCGAACTTATGACGCTTTTTGGCGACATAAGATCGCGGCTGGCGAAATTATGTCGTTTTTCTTTGGCGAACTTATGGCGCTTTGAAGAGTCATAAGTCCGCCGCAAGTAATTTTTGAACGCCATAATTTCGCGCGAACTTATGACGCTTTTCGGCGACATAAGATCGCCGGAAAAAACGCCATAATTTCGCGGACCAAATGTACTGGGCGAACTTATGGCGGCGGACTTATGTCGCTATGCCCGAAATTATGGCGTTCAAAAATTACTTGCGGCGGACTTATGACGCTTCAAAGCGCCATAAGTTCGCCACAAAAAAACGACATAATTTCGCCAGCCGCGATCTTATGTCGCCGAAAAGCGTCATAAGTTCGCGCGAAATTATGGCGTTTAAAAATTACTTGCGGCGGACTTATGACGCTTCAAAGCGCCATAAGTTCGCCATAGGAAAAAATACATCATTTCGCAATTTGGATGTACGTATGTATGTATGAACATGTATGTACATACATCAATAACCATTATATCGGCCAGAAAACGAAAATTTTGGTATTTTATGGTATTTTTAAGTGATTTTTATATTTCAGTTTTTGCATGTAAAACAAACAAAATGTTTTCTACAACAATTTCTCTTTGATATCTATTAAGTACACAATAAGTTGCTTTTCAAAAAAATATGAAGTTATTCATACAAAAACGTGAGGTAAAAACATATAAAAATCTTGTACCGTTCGCGATGTAACGTTACAAATCTGAAATTAGCTTCTAATACTGTCTTCCCACACAGCACATTTGTGAGGAACGTTTGGGATTTTTCACAAATGTGAAACTCGTGTTCCCACACACCGTCAAAGCACATTCACCATCCGAACAGCTGATCGATCAGCTACGGCTCATGAAAACGTAAACAAAGACTGTCGAATTGGCAGTTGCAAATTTGAAATAGAGCATTTACCAACTATTTTGGCTGTTGTACATCAGCAAAAGGCACAGATTGCGTCAGAATTTATCTGCACTAAATTTAAATGAATTAAATGACAAGGAATTTTAGTTTTTCTAATGATTTTTCTTTAATAAACAGCAAATTCCCCGAAGAGTGTCTATAGGTGGTATAGGCATCCAAAATCTTTAAAATAAGATAGAGGCCGGCGGTTTATATTAAATAGTAACAATTGGGGACATATTGGGGCAAGAATATACAGAAAAAACGCTAACAACTATTTTGGGCATGCTTGTAGCTTTGGCGCCACATTTTAAATTCCATATTTCATTTGTTCCTCGCCAAGTGTGTATACACTTTCGTAGTGATGGTCAAATTTTCAGAGTTGCACCGAAAAACTATCGCCTAACTATCGCCAAACAAACCGTGGTTAGATTTTAATGTGTTCTAACGGCGGTCCATTTGGGTAAATTCGGCACTGCTAAACCTTTGCTTTGACGATGTGTGGGAAGACCCTATAAAATAAAAATAACTTTCATGAATGGAAAGCAACAGTATTTTATTGTGATTTTAGTTTTTCAGGCTGAAGTCAAACAAGACTTATGTTTTCTGTACCGTTTGCGATGCATTGTTTTCTGCAAATAATTTAAATGTGACAATTCCCTAAAGCTTGCCTTTTATAATACAATTAGTACTGGTCAAATGCATCGATCGTGCAAAAAAACATTTAAGAAAATGGTCATATTTTTTCCCATTATTTCATTATAATACAAATTCAGTACACTTCAATTCAAAATATTACATATTATGATATATATTATATTATAAACCGATTTGTAACGTTACATCGCGAACGGTACAAGATTTTCTATGTTTTTACCTTACGTTTTCGTATAAATAACTTTATATTTTCTTGAAAAGCAACTTATTAGAGAAGATTTTTTAGAAAGAGGGAAATCATTTCGTTTGTTTTTCATTCGAAAAATTAAATATAAAAATGCTCTTAAAAATATAAAAAAATACCAAAATTTTAGTTTTCTGGCCGATTTTTATATTAAAATACTGCTATGTAAACATTGTATTATGAAAATTTATATTTAGGTTTTTTTTTGGATTTAAAGTTTTATATATATGTACATATATGTACACAAAAAAAACTTTAAGTCCAAAACAAATTTTTCATAATACAATGTTTACATAGCAGTGTTTTCATATAAAAATCGGCCAGAAAACTAAAATTTTGGTATTTTTTGTATTTTTACAGGTTGTACATATTTACAATGTACAAACAAATGAAATAAATGTATGAACATATGTATGTATACATACATAAATTCGCGCGATCTTATGACGCTTTTCGGCGACATAAGATCGCGGCTGGCGAAATTATGTCGTTTTTCTGTGGCGAACTTATGGCGCTTTGAAGCGTCATAAGTCCGCCGCAAGTAATTTTGAACGCCATAATTTCGCGCGAACTTATGACGCTTTTTGGCGACATAAGATCGCGGCTGGCGAAATTATGTCGTTTTTTCTTTGGCGAACTTATGGCGCTTTGAAGAGTCATAAGTCCGCCGCAAGTAATTTTTGAACGCCATAATTTCGCGCGAACTTATGACGCTTTTCGGCGACATAAGATCGCCGGAAAAAAACGCCATAATTTCGCGGACCAAATGTACTGGGCGAACTTATGGCGGCGGACTTATGTCGCTATGCCGAATAAGACTTTGCCAACTAATTTTGATAAAGAGCCGCAGTATAATTTAACTCAAGGTAAACAAAAGATCCACATTATTTAGCAAATTAAAATGGTTTTGGCTTACTTTATTACGTTAATTTATATTTTCAGTCTGAAAATGTCCCATCTCACAGTATCTTCGCTACTTTGTTTTCACTTTTAATAGCTTTTTAATTGCCGTCTACAGCCCAGCGAAGTGTTTCCCAATTAAAAGAGTCTGCCTGGCTCCGGATGACATCCTGCTCTTCAGCTTGCTTTCAGCCACCTTAATCTTTGAATGGGAAACACGGACGACCGCGCCAGCGACATGTGCGCAATGGGGAATCCCCCGCCGAGTCGCGTACACATATCTGTTAATTATGCAGGCGGGCCGTGTGCCCGAAAAGATAAGGAGTCCAGTCGGTGCCGATGCAGGCCATGAGCGAAGAGTCATTTTGACGTTGACTTATTGGGGATACAGGGGAGTGAAATTTTCACAAATCTAATACAAATCTGTTGTATGGAAGGTTACAACCATTCGCAAGAGCCCTTGAGTCTGAGGGAAGAGTTCCATGGTAAGCGATTTGGCCTTCAGCACGATTCGCCCTTCCATTTTCTGCGATCCCAGGTTAGTAAATTGAACTCTTCACGATGCTTTTATCAAGTGCTTTCCAATCTTTCAGTGGCAGTCAGAGCCCAAGTCGCACATCTTTTTGGTTTACCGCTGCCTTCTGGGCGTCTTTTTTGGATCCGGGTCCGTCTCTTATACGGTGATACACTTTCAGAGAGGCCATTGTTTCATCTACCTAACGAATTGGTGCTTTTTCATGTGCGCGTTTACCAGTGCTTACTCTGCTATTCTACAGACAGTATATCACTGCCAGAAGGAGTCGTGGGGTAACCTGGTTCTTCAAATAACTGAACGATATTCACTTTTATGGTATTTCTCTTTCAGTTCCCTCGAGTTGGGCGATCAAGTGCTATTGGGCCTGCTTCTGGATTACCCTGTGCACAGAACATGTGGTGACGTTTGCCTATTGGGCACTCATATATCCAAGCGCTCGGGTACGAAAAAATCCGACATGTGTCTCCATCCTCTACAATATCTGGACCCATGCCTTGCCGCTTATCGTCCTCACAGTCGATAATTTTGTGGTGGCTCAGCCAGCCCGACTTCTGCACTTTGTTTACCCAGTAGGCTTTTGCTTGATCTATTTGGGATTCACGATCATCTATTATTTGGCGGGCGGGGTAGACTTGTAAGAACAGTTCTTTGAATTTATTTTCTTTATTTTTATTTCGATTCTAATTTCAGTAAGGGACGTACCACCATTTATAAATTCCTGAATTATTCTAAGCCCGCAAAAGCTGCTGTAGTTTCAAGCATAGTGTTGGTTCTTCTGGTTGTTTGTTCTATATTTCAGTATGGAGTGTATCGTTTGAGAACACGCTTGGCGCGCAGGTTTGGCAAACTTATTTTGGACACTAGCTCATCAAAGGGTGTTTTATAGATTAATTTATGTATTTATACTGTAACAAAATAAATATATTAATACTACTTCAATTGTTTTGATATATTAAAACTATAAACTATTTTAAAGACAGGGGAAAATTAAAAAATATTACAAGGGTATTGTCATCCATGAAAGGCAATTTATTCAAAGATAAATTCTTGGTTTCAGAAGACACTAGACAATAGCACAAACGAGAGAGATATTAAAAAATGATATTTTATTTCATTGTGCATATCAGAGGACAAATAACAGAGTCGTGTTTTGTTGTTTATGTCGCTAGAACGTGCTTGGAAAATTTAAAACCATTTCTAGTGCATGCTGCAGCTTCAGTTGGTCTGTATGTCCTGTTTCCATATCTGGTCATATGTAGCCTATCTTAATATACATATCTTAAAAGGCTCTTTTTCACATTCTGGAAAAAGCCTCTCCCGATTCCCAAATTAAAGCTCTACATTTTAGTTTCTAGGTCGCGTTTATGGATCTTCACTCACGGTTTATTTCGATACCAAACAATTACATTTTTTAAAGCTATTGATTCCGCTTTTAATTGAATATAGTTGCTTTTTTTACAGAACTCACTCCTTTTCCTTAAATATTTAAGCGTTCTGTGACTCGCCTAGGAATGTCGCTAGCAATTACGACTGTAAATAATGCTGGGGCCCTCGCTAGCAACAATGAGTTGACTCATTGCTGCATTTTTCAAGCAACAAAACGACCCCCCTCAGGCCGCTCTGCCCCGCATTAACTTCTGCATCGATAAATAAACAAGTTGAGCTACTTAAGATTTAAGTTGTTGTTGTTCCCGTCCTCGTTCGACTGTTGTTGTTGTTGTTGTTGCAAGTGGTGTGCACACAAAATTTGTAGTGAATACTTTTTTCCCCCATAAACATGCACGCCCCCGTGCCCGCCCCGCTGGCACCCCTTAACTGAATTAACCCCTTCAGTCCGTTACAAAATTTCATATTACGTATACGCTACGTATGCGCATTTCAAGCATGAAACGCTTCTGCACAGTGCACAACAGCAGCTGCGCTGCTGCGTGTGCCTCGGATAATAATATAAGCATATAAATGTTTATGTTAAATTAAATTGAATGCAAAAAGGCGGAAATGTTACGAAATGCTTAAAAAAAAAGAGGAAAACAAATACATTTTCGCCATGTTGGCTCCGAGAGCAGGAAGCTGGTATAATTGCCCCTCCCCCCTTGGCATACTGTTGGCTCCACAAATTTAAGACGATCCCTTTAAGTTATGTTTGCCTTTAAATGCTATAGCCACCACCCTCTCCCTCAGTACGCCAATGCAGTTGGCGGCTGTCAGGCTGAGTGCAGCCATAAATACGTTAACGTTCGATGTTTTAGGCGAGGCCAGCTGCAGCCACAGAGCCCTGCTAAGTGGCTGCACTTTAGCAGGTCCCATAGGGTCCCTTCGACATGCCACTAAGCAAGGCGACTTTATGGGGATGTGCTTTTTTGTATTCCATATGTGCAGGCGAATCTCCATATACAAAGGTGGATAAATAGTAAACTGTTTTGCAAATAAGGATTAGGTTAATAAACTTGATGTCAGACAGGGTACAATTTTATATTAAAATATTTTGTTACATAGCTAAGCTATGCAAGTCGGACTATAGAGCATTCTATTTTGTTGTACTATATAATTTCGGTTTAAAGAAAAAACCTTCAAATCGAAAAGTTACTTTAAATATTAGAATGCATTTATATCAATTGATGTATTGTGTTTTTCATGGAATGTTTCTATACGCATTTTTCTGCTGCCCGGGGGGCTGAAGCGGCATTGGAATTTCGTTCTTTACCAACCCCTTCAAGTGTTAAAATATGTATATAAAATTGATTGGCTGATTAAGCACACACTTTGCACAATCCACCCACACATTGTAGCTCCTTTCATCATACCATTTTTTCTTTTTTTGCTTTGCACTGTCTGGCCTTGGTATTTTCCCCTTTTTTTTGATTTGCCTCGGAAATGACGCAAATAACGCAACAAATTTAAGCCAGTCACAAAAATGCTCCCAGCCCACCCATAACACCCGCACAAACACACCTTCAAAATGGGTTATTTATGACAATAGGCATGTGAGAGCCGACAACAGGATATTTTATATTATGCCATTGGAAAATAAATAAACACACATACATCCGCTCACGTACGCACAATGCCCAATTTTGTTGTTCCTGTAATATTTTGCATAAATTCCACTTAATATAAAGGGAAGCAAGGGTATATCCACAAGTTAAATAACTGAAAAATAAAGTAGACTGAAAAGTTAAAAAGAAAAAGTATGAATAAGTGCAACGATATAAGTAGAATGTTCTATAAAAAATAAAATAAAGCTCCTGAGCCTGACAAGGATTTTAATTATATATCTTTTGAAAAAATAAGGTATTATTCTCATTTTTTAAATGTATCTCCTGATAAATTATATAAATACTTTTAATGGTCTACGATGGCTCTCTAAAGCTGACTTTACCAGAAGAAAAAATATAGATCCCTTTACCGAGAGCATTAACAAGTCTTTTTGTGTGCAGAAAATATTTTTTCATCCTTTTTGAGTAATTTCGAGAGTGAAATTTAATTTTGCTGCTCATTAATGGCACGTCGACCGACAGAGAGCTCACCGGAAATATGTGATTTCCGAATATAAATACATATTTGTTCCATTTTCGTATTACGCCCCATTGTACATGGATGTGTGTTGTTGTAATTCCCGTAAAACAAAAAAGTCCTTGCAGATAATTACAGGAAGTTTAAGAGGATCCAACAAAATGAATGAGACGGGTGGCATTAATTTGGGTTTTAACACTGTTGATTTTCATAAATTTACAGGTCGATTTTTGGAAGAACAAATTAACAAACTGAACCTTTACCTTTAACTGGAAATTTAACCAATTTTATCTCCAAATAGACTGTAATCATCCCGAATTTTATGTTAAAACAAGCCTTAACTCAGCCTTGTTTTGTTTTGACTGCAAAATATTATCGAAACAGTCTTCAAACTTATCTTCGAGCTCCCAGCCCACTCATTTCAATACAAAGCTAATAAACTTTATTCGTTCAAGGCATTGTTTGAGAATAGGGCCCAAAGCCGAAGCCAATCAAAAGCAAAACAATAAACAAGCATGACAATAAATAAATAAATAAATGCCCAAACGAAAAAATGTGAAACGGAGGAGTCGAAGCAACGTTTTGCCTTGCGTGAAAGGATAATGACTCGTCCGTTTCCCGCTCTCCTCTCAGCCTCTCTGGCAAATGCAAACGACAATATTGAAACGGCGGGACATCGACAGGATAAGGCGGCCCGCAAGGCCGTATGCGGTTCGGTCCTGTGACGCAGGAATTGATTGAATGCCGTATTAAGCTTAAGCCGCACACACACTCTCGCCGAAGTAAGCAAACATTTATCTTTCCCCTTTTTACCCACTTCAATTTAACGGCTACTTAAGTCCATCATATTGAATAATGCTGTGTACAGAGAGGAATTCGGGCTGCTGCCAATTTCTGAGCAATTCCTGATATGTGAGTAAGCATTTGCAAGTTTGTACTCGGAATGTGGTGGTTATAACCAAATCCAATAAGCTTTTTGAAAAGAATTCAACAATTAAAAGATTTATTTGTTTGCCATCTGCGAATGGTACATATTTGCAATATTTGATTTTGCCCAAGGAATAAAATACCAAAAGGAATAAGTTCACTTTAAGGCGAAAAAATTCCAAATGTCTGGAGACAGTGAGAAAAATCATAACATAATTTGGTATTACTTAAAGCTAAGGTTTAAAATTAATATAGAACTTTGTCCAAGAGTTAAGTGAAAAATAAATGAGAATTTATTTAGAATAAAAAATATAGTATTCCCATTTTTCTATTTCCGAGAACTCCCAAAGTCTCCTCTCCGTGTGCCTTACCTCCTTCAATTTAACAGCTACTTTAATCCATCATTTCAAATTATTATCTTCGCGCCTGGTGGCAAAAGTTGGCAAGTTCCCGTGCACGCTCAGTTGGCCACGCATCAAATGGGCCCTCAATTGGCATTAAAAGCTCCTTGATGATGCTACCTGAAAATCGTGATGCGGACGGCGCAGGACGGCGCAGGACGGCGCAGGACGGGAAGGACTAAAGTGGAGGCTCATTAAAAGGCCACCGCAGAAAACTGCTGACATCACGACAGACGGCGACGATGTTGCAGAGGCTACTTGGGCTGGCGAATTAAAAAGTTGCCTTGATAATCCTTTTGCAAAATAGACGGGATTAAGTAAAACGCTGAGCCGGAAATTTATGCAGCCCAGGTGGCCATTGGCTGCTGTCCAGGTGTTGACCATCAACTTGGCCGAGTCGAGTCGGGTAAGGAGTTTGCCGCGAAAGCACTTAAAATGTGCCACAGTGTTGCAATAATTACCGTTAAATGTTCACAGTTAAAAACACTTTTGCAGAGGAAAGGGGGAAATTTAATTCTGAGCCAAAAGGCTCTCTGTTATTATCCCTGCAGCCGTTCAGCATGGCAAAGCCTGGTGATGTCGGTGATTTGTAATTTTAAGCGGCGTATGATTAACTTTGAAGCTGGTTGCGAGACCAAAGAGATGATTGGGGTTATTAAACCGCCCTTACTTAAGTCTAATTGCCATAAGCCTTTAAATAAGTTTGAACACAATATATTCGTCACACTTGCCAAGCATCTCAGTTTAGACTTTCAGAAGAGAGTCATTTCTTTATGTAAACTAATCCTTTTTTATGTATTTTTTTTTGCCTGAAAGCCCAACCGCCTGCAGACAACAACTAATGACTCGCCATTAAATTGGCTCGCCAAACACTACATTTAAATTAATGCACAGACGATCAAGAGAGCCGGATTTTGGGTGGCAAGCAGGGGGAGTCTACTGTCTGAGGGCAATTTCAAGCGCCCGATCCGACCCGGCACCCGTTTTCCGTGTCAGCCAAGTGTGCACTTGTACTTGTAGTTTAGCCAGCGTAAAAACATATAAATAAATA